AACAAAAGAGAGGCAGAATAGTTTTAAGATAATGTTTAAACTGATACACGTTGACCAAACGTCAATTTGTGGGTTTCTCTTAATAGTAGACTTGTAACTCTTCATTGTAACACTTGTGAATACAAACTACATTTAATTACTTCATTCTACCATTGTATTTTACATTTTATCATCAAGCACCATTATAGTTTTTTTTATTTATACAAAAAAAAAACTGTTATTGCAATATAATTGCCTGCCTTTTCAAACCTAACACAAATTACATGAATATTTTTAATTGAGCAACTTTTACATACATTTTATATAAACCATATAGTCTTTTCATGTTATTTGTTTTCAATATTTTAATATAAATTGTTTCACTGTTCATAATGCCTTGATCTTAGAAATGACTGTTTTGTAACAAAATACTTGAACTATCTTTTTGGAATACAAGACTTAAATACTATTACTATTTATTTTGATCCTTAACACTAAAGATCTAATCAACTCCCCATTTTATAGAAATTTCATTACCTTAGTCTGCATATATGATGGTTCTTGATTATTCTAAACATAAATAATCTGTGAAAAATTGTATATATATATATATATATATATATATATAGCTAGTTATCATTCATCAACATGACAGTAATTAATTTACAATACCATCATGTCTGTTGCGGTTTTGTAACCCAGTTCGCTAATGCAATTTTAATATCAGCGAAGTCGTCGTATTCCATGAAACAGTGCTGTTTAGTTCAATAAATACAAGTGCTAATCTCGTTCGTAATTAGTTTCGTAGCCTAATTAATAACCGGGAAAATTATAATTAAGTTGATTGAAATTCATAACGATACTCAAGAACTTACTAATGCTAGAAGGAATATTTGCATATACATGAAAGTCTATTTAACTCTAGTTACTTTATATAACTCAAGAACGGCTCTAAAGATTAGGCTGCAAAAAAATTTAAAAAGGTAAACATTATTCGCAGTACTCGTTTGAATTGGATTATTTAGGTTTTCTTCAGTCAGATATTTTAATAAGAGGATGGCGTAAATTTGTATTTGATATTATTTCGCCCATTATTTATTTTAACTACAACATTGAAGATAGACAATACTCGTAAATGGGTACTCTAAACATTTTACATTCATTATTGCGAATACAATAATTTAATTAATTATAATTTTTAATTGAAATGTTTGTCAAGAAATAAGGGATACATAATAAAAATATTAGTCCAAATAACAGAACCGTGATAAAACGAGCACAGTAATTTTAATTAAAGCATTGATTAAACACATAAATACTGTTGAACAAACAACTGGCGCGAGTAAGTGAGTATATTATTGTTACATGCTCAGTTTATACACACAGCACAAGCACAGCTGATCTCTGTTGAATACTAAACAGACTATCAAATCATTATAGCGTGGTATTTTTCAGATAAATTATTGGTATATTTATAAATATACATATTTTACTTTAACTAATTATTTACTCTCCATAAAACGATATTGCTATTTTGTGAACTTACTTGTATCATAGGCACTTCGGCATCTGAAATGGATCTTAAATCTATCTATAGCTACAGACCGCATCTACATCTATAGCAGGTTTATATGTAACTAGATAACCGCCCCGGTATCGAACGGGGTCTTTACAAAAAATATAAAATGGCCTATGTTGCGTGAACTGCGTTGAGTACCTACTTCTTGAGTAAAATAAAGACCAACAAAAATTGTATCATCTTTCTTTGTTTAAAATATTTTAAGCTTGAACTAAGAAAATCTGTTTTTTTATGGGAATAATAGTTTTTTAATACAATAAAAATAAAATATTTCTTTGTATTCAACATTACAAATTTCGTAACATTATAGTTAAGTCAGTGATGGCCTAGTGGTTAAAAAGGCCCGCCTCTCATACCCGAGGGCGCGGGTTCGATCCTGGCCCGGGCAAGTACCAATGTGATTTTTCCGAATCATAATATGTACTTTCTAAGATAAGATTATTTAGACATCACTGATTAATGCTGATTCCCAAAAAAGGATTGATGTCAGGCAGGCGGCCGGTCGTAAAACAATTAGCCAAAACTATATTCACAACATGTAAGGCAGGCCCTGGCTAAAGCTGGGAAATTGCCAGGTAGAACAATAGTTAAATATATAATTGCCTCTGCGAAAAGCTCTATATGCTTAAGTCTCCTCCTGTAACTTTTAATTTCTGATCCTGCGCTTTATTATATGTCATTCCAAAAGTTATTTTTACGGTAAATTGTGGACGTTTAAATTGAAATGACAATTGTGACGGAATCATTGGAATTTTGAATTAATAACAGTTTCACCAACGGTTGTTTCTGTTAATATAACACATTGAACCAAATGACTTTTTAAATTTAATATTTAATTTCTTGTACCGTTGCACAGTTTTATCGGCCACAAATTTCTCAGTAATATGATAGGGACACCTACTTTTACTGTTAATGGCTGTGGCGGGATAACTGGAGGTGATAAAGAATTTAAAATTATATGAGGTTATGCATTGCCTTTTCTCTATCCACTATTGTGTCAACAGACTGTTACGTTTACGATAGCGCCTCGAACTTGGACAGAATACACTCGTTTATATTATTAACTTGCTCATTTTTAAGTGCTAATATAAGCCTTTTCTGATATACTACGCTTTTTTATTATTAAATTATTGGTTATGCTATAAATAACAAGATCAATTGACAATCATTGTCATCTCGTGCACCCATCATCATGGTTACTGCAGAGGAACTTAAACATCGCGAGTATATATTTTTAAATTAACACAAAAAGCCTAGTACATCCAAATATATTAGTTTTGTTTAAAAGAATACACGTAAAAACTTTAGACGTCATTAACACGTAAGAATTTCCTTAAATAAATGATTTACTTTTGTTGTTTGTATTCGTTTATTGATTCTTAGTAATTGTCCTCCATGAACACTTTCTTCGGATTCAAGGTGAATTTAAAAATGTCTTAAAAAGATAACGGAAATCTTTTTCTGAAATCTTAAATCTAAATAATTATTGAGAGATATATTTATTTTAGTTTCTTAATAACTATTATGATACCTTTGTCCGAGTTATATCAAAGTGTCTGGCAAGATATAAAGGGAATAATATAAAACTAACTATATTTGAAATCATTATTAATTGTAAGACTTAGATTGTTTTGTGTGGTTGTCTTCGAGAATTTTTAATTAAGGTTTTCCCACAAGTTAAACAGTCTTGAATACGATGTTTTGCCGTGTTGGCTAGACCTAGACAAACATGAATGTATACGAGTTAAATTAAAGCAACTACATCAGCTAAAACCAGAAGGACTTAGTAATAATTAACATTATACATCTCCTTCGAAGCAAGTTAGCATTTTCGTAGGTAATACTATTTATACTTGTTTCTACTTATAAATGCAAAATTTGTGACGATATATGATACATGGATATACATATAGATATAGATATATATATATATATATATATATATATATATATATATATATATATATATATATATACACATAGATGTATGGATGCAAAAGTATAAAGATATATGGAAGTATATATAAATATATTTAAAAACAAAAACTTAATTAAAAATAGGACAGGCTCATTTATCCCAAAATACCTTACAGTAACCTCAAAACTATGGTCCTAGTAATAATATAAATAAAATGATAAAAATAAAACTATATTGATATATTCTTAAAGTGGTCAACTTCAGTTGAAAAGTTTTATTGAAGCTGCAAAACGTCTCTCTAAAAATACCATTTATGACGGAAATCGAGAAAACCCATTTTTTTCCCTTAAATACATACCCTTCCCGACCTAAGATCGCCCTTAAATTATTTTTCCTTTAATTTTTATAATATTCCCCTCCTTTTCTAATGGGTTTAATTCTACTATAATTTTTTGATGTTTTAAAAGCTATCGATACAGATCTATAATACTGCTAAGTGTACGAGAAAATTAATATTAGGTATATTTTTATATAGTTTACATTCGCACTATTTGTAGTTTAAACGATAGAAGTTTTAAGGAAAACATGTACGTGTCCATTCACTCAATTACAGTAAAGTGTCATACCATTTAATATTGTAAGTTTCTCCTATTTATGTCTCATCAATACTTTTATAAAACAAATAAAAGTGAACAAAATTGAAAAGCATTTATTTAATTAATGAAGCTCATCTGACAATTCTATCATAATTAAACAAATGTTTTTTATGACACATTTTGCAAAAGTATAATAGTATAGGTGACAATAGCGGAGGCTATGGTCAATAAAATGCTGTACTCAAGTTTGAAGAAATTTAAAACGTGAAAGCAAATTGGTTTATTCTGAATGATTCCTTTCAGCTCGGTTATGGCTACTCGCATTTCGGATACTGTAAAAATATATTAACAAGTTAATTCTGAATTATATTGTAAATATAAAATAATTATGTAATACCTACAAACTTTCTTATTTGCAATTAAATTTTCGCCCCAAAAAATAATTCTCTCTGTCTGGCGATAGCTTTGTTCACAACAGTGCACAACGAAAAGTGGAAATGAACAAATTGTAATCAGACGAGTTACAGCTGCCATAATAAGAAGCCAACTGTACTCTATGACCTGAAAATTTAAAAAACAATAAAACTTGATAAAAGAGTTATAAACTGTAAATTTAAAAAAGTTGATAATTTTTTGTTTGTAATAAAATTTATTTCTTATTTCAATATTTACAAAATATATAAAAAATATCGTCCATACTTACCATTGAAGCGACTGAAAGACGTATCAGTAGGTTTAATATCATAACCATTTCAATTACAAAATTTATATTGTAAATAAATATCTGTGAATGTTGAATTTCATAGACGACGAAACTTCTCAGCATTCCATGGATTCACCGTGCGGGTGCCGGGTCCATCGCGTTGCAGGGGGAGGAGCTTCAACAGTGCCTGGGACTTGCGACCCAAGTGTAGGTTTAAGGGGCCCCTTAACTAACGCGCGTTATACGCTCACCTCCACTGTCCAAGCTCCTCTCCCTACCTAACCAAATTTGAAAAGAACCTACTAGGGCTGCCTTCGATGTACGTTCCAAGAATGCATTAATGTGAGTTCTGGACAAGCCCAAGTCCTTTAGTAGGTTATAGAGAGATTTCGCTGTTATACCTCTCGCTCCCACCTCTACCGCGTACAAATCTACTACGAACCTATTTCGAGTGAGTTCGTTTGTGAGCTCGTAATATTTGTTGACCTTGATGGTATGGTCTTTGGGGATGTTGGTTTCCCAAGGGACCGTAAGCTCTATCATCACCACGCGCTTTAAAATTCGCGAAAACAAAAATATATCCGGTCTGGAGGCCGACGCACAAATATCCTCGGGGATTTTATATTGTTTTTCATACGTGTCCATCATTATAGTCCAATCCGACGCCGCTTTAAGGATGGAGTAAGGCTTGACGTTTGATTTTGTAGCCCTAGAGCCTTCTCTCACAAAACCTACTGATCGTTCGTTTGTGGTTATTCCCTTTTGCGCTCTGGCTACCGAAAGACTAACCGCTTCACGTATGACTTCTAGAACCCTATCGTGACGACGCGAGTATTGACCGCTGTCAAGGAGTACCTTACATCCCACTAGCAGATGCTTAGCAGTTCCAACTGCCTTTCCACAGATATAGCAAGTTTTTTCGGTACTTTTACCCCATCTTACTAAATTACTCTGATCTGGGAGAGTCATCTGGAACGCATTGAGATAGAATTTTAGCAATGCTGGCGACCAATCATAAATTAAAGTGCGCCATTTTAATGCTAATGGGATGCAAAAATCTCCTATGTCTAACCACTCGTTCTGCATTTCTAAATTCATTGCATGGATCTTATATTTATCATTCTCGTCTTGCCGAATAAAAGACTTCAATATATCCGCATCTTGGACTTTCCTATTTGATCCTAACCCCGCTCTGTTACTTTGCGCTCCTATCATAAATTGCTTATGGAATTGAAGTCGTGACTCTAGCTCGGGGGCATCTTCATCTTTTGGAAGCGATGTCACTATGTCATCATGGGATTTCCGCAGGATATATCTCTTGGAAACTCTTAGGTGTTTATAGAGCTCCGATGGCCTTTTTAGACTCATCCCAAAACTATTGCTTCCCCTAAATAACGCCGATTAATCAGCCGTTAGAGCGAGCCCGAGCCACAACTTCAACATCTTTATGACGCCTGCATCTAACTTTGACAAAAGGGTTTTATTAAAATCATAGACGAGGAAAGGCCAATTCAAACGTGAAGTTAAGTAATTCTCGTAGATCCACGCTTTTTTGACGTTACTTATCAGTTGGCTATCTACCTTGTTAAGATCGTTCAAAAAGCTATCTACTATTCCTTCTAACGATGGAGTACGGCCTATATTATCTATCTTACGACCGAGAAATTTAAATGGTGCATTTTCCGTAACCGTAGAAATGCATTGACCGCCTAACGATAGTCCCGGATCGTATGAGGTGTATCTTGTATTCCGCCTACCTAGACACAGACAGTGACATTTACTGGGTTTTGTCCTCAATCCATCCGTCCACTCACAGAATTTATCCACTTCATCCAATAGTACCTGACAGTGTTTGGGGTTACGTGTCAGTATTGCGAGATCGTCAGCGAAGGCTAAAATGGATTCCGTGTATTTATTATTAAACTTAAACCGATAACCCCATTTTTTCTCGTTACAGATTAATTTGTCTACTAAGATGTTAATTACGATATTAAACGCAATTGGAGATAGACAACAACCTTGAAACAGTCCTACATTATAACTCAAACTTTTTGAAGGGCCTTCTTTAGTTATTATAGAAAACCTTAATTTTGAGTAATACGACGCGATCATATCTCTAACTAGGGGTGGAAAGTTGTACCATCTAAGCGCGAATAGCATCAATTCGTGTTGTATCGACCCGAACGCGTTCTCCAAGTCTATCCAACAAACAGTGATTTGCCGCTCGCTTTTTCTAGCATCTTTTAAACTCTCCGACAGCAAGGTGTTGTGTTCTAAGCATCCGGAAATCCCGGGTAAAAACCCTTTCTGGTGATTTGGCCTAAAATAGTTGTTGCTGAGCATGAATCGCGTCATTCTCGTTTGTAGAACCGAGAAAAAGATTTTCGATATAGTATTTGTTAAAGCTATCGGTCTAGTATCTTTCGGATCAGTAACTCGATCTTTTTTGGGAATGAGGACAAAAATTGCTTTCCCGAAGCACTCCGGGATTTGCTTCCTTGACCAGATTTTACCGTATATATTTAGGAGGTGTTTACGAACCGATGCACATTTTTTAAAGACTATATATGGGATACCATCGGGTCCCGGTGCAGATTTAGACGACTTCCTCTTGATCTGACTACTTAGTTCCTCTAGCGTTGGTGGAATGCCGTGGAATTCGATTCGAGGAAATTCAGGTTTTTGATCGTTTGGATCCCTATACCGTCTTAAACTTTTAGGCACTTCGTATGTGCTCTTAAAATGGTCGTAAATTTGATCGTTGGTCAAGAGAAGCTGTCCGCGTTCTTTCTTAAAAATGGTTTTCGAATACTCAAAAGGGTTTTTATCGAAATCTACTTCTTGTTTTGCCCGGTCAAAATTATCGCGATATTCTGCAGTTTGCGCCGATATTCCTTGGATTAATTTAAGGATTGACCTTAACGCCCTAGCTAGTTGATGACTAAGGTGATTGTTGCCTAGAGCTTTGGCTATACGTAGATTTTTTATTAATTCCCGTTTTTTCTTCCGCATTTTTAATTTGAACGAATTGTCTTTATTTTTGCGAGCATAACGATTACGTGGTGGATATTGCTCGCTAAAGTAGTCATAAACGGTATTTTGGAAAGTTTCTACCTGCGAGTTCAATTCCTGCTTCGAGCCCGGATGCTCTAACAGGACCGCTAAGTTGTCGTCATGAACTTTCCAAGTCGATTGTTTTAGATTAGGAATGCTAAGACGTGTCCTGATGTTAATGGACTCCTGGTGGTTTCCAGTTAATGGTTCACCATGGGATACATGAGGGTCAACTCTATCCGAAGTGAATGTTGTAGATCTTACCGACGATTGTCGTGCTTCAACCCCATTATGTGTTTTTAGATGTTTAATGTACCAGGCTCGTCTCTTGTAGTTTTTCCCGCACGTAGAGCATTTCAAGTCCGTATTCGCGCCGTTTTCGCCGTTAAAATCGACCGGTGGACAGTTCTTCCGCCCCCCCTCTCGGACTGTCCCAGGGGTATTTTTCTTCTTCGGACTTTTAGCTTTATGTATACCGGGTTGGGCTATTATAATAAGATCTGAATTAATGAATTTAGTTTCACTATAACTAATATAATTCTTACTCGGAATCCATACATGTTGTTAATGTAATAAGTCTGCTTATTTAAAAGTAAATAGCATCTGTTAAGCATCATAAGATCACAGGGAATACGCTCTTGATCATGGACTGTCTTAATTACAAAACTGTTGTGGTGCTCTATGTCTTTAAGTTCACCCGATACGTTATCAGAATTATAATAGTAATGTCTTAACGAATTCCCGATTGATTTTAAACGGTATTTTATTTGACAAACATTGGATATCATATCCAACGTGTTAAGTATTTTGAAAAAGTAAAACACATATTGTAAAGTGTAAACAATTGAAGCTATCCATCCAAGCATTACAAGGGAACAAATGAAATCCGATACAATAGTTAGAGTAACAATAACCAATATTAGTATATATATGTTTTTAATGTTTCTTTTCAAATCTTTGTAACTTCTGATCCCGAGATATTTATCAATGGTTTCGTAAGTTTTGATGTAATGCAAGAAAGACTGTCCTCCGTATTTGTTAACGAAATAAATGTTGAAGAAGTATTGAATATTAAATATCAAATGAAACTTTTGTATCAGTAATGAAAAACTTCCTTCGCTTCTTGGCATACAAATGTCCATGTAGCAGCAAATACAAGTACCCACGCTAGCTACCATAAGAAACATAGTAATCCAAATAAATTTACACAATAAAGAACCAATTTTAAGTTTTTCTTTATCGCGATAAACTCGCGTAAATCCAAATGTATATAAAATCTTATATAAAGGCAAATATGACGAGAATACGTCCACTTTTAATGTTTCAATTTTCGCATTATAATTCTTCATAATTTTAAAGTACGAAACAGAATTAACCCCGGAACCAACCTGTATTTGAAATTTGAATTTGAAATTTGAAGTAAACTTCTGTTTCTTTTAAATGGTACACATGACTATTAGAATGATTGGAACTCATTTAAATAATGGCATAAATAACCTGCGAATCAATAAAATATGACACATTATACGACTGTCCAATTAACATATATGGCTGCACTGTTAATGAAATTGATGTAAGAGTGACGTCAATATTGTTGAAAAAATTAATTAATCATTTATGTACATTATTTATGAATATTTATTCTAGAATAACCTTCAGCACCTTCAGCACTATTAATTATTATTAGCTGCATTTGTTTGGCTATAATTATTTTCACCAATTAAGCACTCTGAATGTTCTCCCATAATTTCGTTCTTGTAAAGATTGTAATAGATGACTCTCCCAGATCAGAGTAATTTAGTAAGATGGGGTAAAAGTACCGAAAAAACTTGCTATATCTGTGGAAAGGCAGTTGGAACTGCTAAGCATCTGCTGGTGGGATGTAAGGTATTCCTGGACAGCGGTCAATACTCGCGTCGTCGATAGGGTTCTAGAAGTCATACGTGAAGCGGTTAGTCTTTCGGTAGCCAGAGCGCAAAAGGAAATAACCACAAACGAACGATCAGTAGGTTTTGTGAGAGAAGGCACTAGGGCTACAAAATCAAACGTCAAGCCTTACTCCATCCTTAAAGCGGCGTCGGATTGGACTATAATGATGGACACGTATGAAAAGCAATATAAAATCCCCGAGGATATTTGTGCGTCGGCTTCCAGACCGGATATATTTTTGTTTTCGCGAATTTTAAAGTGCGTAGTGATGATAGAGCTTACGGTCCTTTTGAAAACCAACATCCCCAAAGACCATACCATCAAGGTCAACAAATATTACGAGCTCACAAACGAACTCACTCGAAATAGGTTCGTAGTAGATTTGTACGCGGTAGAGGTGGGAGCGAGATGTATAACATCGAAATCTCTCTACAACCTACTAAAGGACTTGGGCTTGTCCAGAACTCACATTAATGCATTCTTGGAACGTATATCGAAGGCAGCCCTAGTAGGTTCTTTTCAAATTTGGTTAGGTAGGGAGAGGAGCTTGGACAGTGGAGGTGAGCGTATAACGCGCGTTAGTTAAGGGGCCCCTTAAACCTACACTTGGGTTGCAAGTCCCAGGCACTGTTGAAGCTCCTCTCCCTGCAACGCGATGGCCCCGGCACCGGCACGGTGAATCCATGGAATGCTTAGTAGTTTCCTCTCAGATAATTTATGGAATAAATATTAATAATATCATTTTTGATTTAGTTTTGACTATCTTATAGAGACATTTGTACAAGCATATATGTACATATGTATGTTTCTATCAACAATGTTGTCATAATAACATAATACTTATAATTACATATAATTTTAATTAATTAAAAACTACATTAAATAAATTTATAAGTCAATTAATAAATGAATATTTACAGCTCGGTACAAGTTTGCATCGTTACCGTTTATTATTCAATAACGTTAATTCATTAAGAAGAAAGTGCAAAGGTTTATAAATATAAAAAATTGTTTGTGGAGTGCCTCGTCTTAAAAAGAAGAAGAAACATTACTTAGCAATGTGGAAATGAAAATAGGAAGGAAAGGGGACTAATCATTTTTTATGAACTTATTTTTACTTTAAGACAAACTTTGTAGACATTCTCCCCTCCCCAGGAGCGTTGAAAATTTAACGCAATTTTGTTAGAAGTTGCATTAAAAGTATCACTAAAACAATGGTTAACGCCTCGTATGTACTGTGATAATGCGAACTTGAGGCAAGCATGTACAAATATTATTTTGTTTATGACCAAGAAACAGTCAAATAAGCTATCTAGAGATCATGTGGATGGTAGCTACAACAACTTTTGTATGAAAAATAAGACGGATTTTAATTTTTGATTTAA